ACTTTTTTTACACCTGCCTTATAAAATTATAATGATGATGCTTCATATGCAAATAGAAAAGAAATGATAAAGAAGAGAGATGAACAAATGATAATAGAGAAGATAAAGACGAATCAAAAAAGAAAAAAAGATATAAAACAAAAACCGAAAAAAGAAAAACTTCAAAAGGAACAAAGAAAAAACAAAAGAAATGGAGATAGATGGAGAAAGAAAAAGTGTATTAAAAGCATATTTACAGAAATTGAAAACGTACAAAGCAAAAGAAGAGGCGTTAGAAAAAATAAAAGAGACGTTAAAAGTTAGTAAAGAAAATATGGGAAGGAATGAGGAGATGTTATTATCATTACAAACGATTGGGATGTCCATTGGAGAAGTACTAAAATGTTTAAGTTCAGAGAAGTATATTGTTAAAGTGTCGTTAGGACCACATTATGTAGTTGGATGCCGAAGTTCTATTGATAAGAAAAAGATAACACAAGGAACAAGAGTTGCACTTGATGTATCTACTAATACTATCATGAAAATCTTACCAAGAGAAGTTCACCCAGCAGTATATTCGATGACAGTAGAAAGTCCAGGGAAAGTTAAATATGAAGATATTGGAGGATTAAGAAATCAGATGAGAGAAATACGAGAAGTAATTGAATTACCAATGACAAATCCTGAATTATTTGAACGAGTAGGAGTTAAAGCACCTAAAGGAGTATTATTATATGGACCACCAGGAACTGGAAAGACATTACTAGCAAGAGCACTTGCAAGTAATTTAGAATGTCATTTTTTAAAAGTAGTTGCAAGTGGAATTGTAGATAAATATCTTGGAGAAAGTGCAAGATTAATTCGAGAGATGTTTGCATATGCACGAGATCATCAACCGTGTGTAATATTTATGGATGAAATAGATGCTATTGCAGGGAAACGAATTGCAGAAGGAATACATAGTGATAGAGAAATTCAAAGAACATTAATGGAGTTATTAGCACAAATGGATGGGTTTAATGAAATAAGTAAAGTTAAAATTATTATGGCAACCAATAGACCAGATGTTCTTGATCCAGCATTAATGCGACCGGGAAGACTTGATAGAAAAATCGAAATTTCACTTCCAAATGACCAAGGAAGAATTGAAATTTTAAAAATTCATTCAAAAAAGATGAATATTAAAGAAGAAGTTGATTATGAAGCAATGGGGAAATTAACAGAAGGATTTAATGGAGCTGATTTAAGAAATGTATGTACTGAAGCAGGGATGTTTGCAATTCGAGATGATAGAGATTATTGTATTGAAGAAGACTTTTTCAAAGCAATAAGAAAACAAGCAGAAGCTAAGAAATTAGAGAATCAGTTTGGTGATATTAAAATTTAATTTCTTTTTTATTAATATTATTGATTTTAAATAAGTTTAATAAAATAAAACTTCAAAAGAAGAATAAATAATATCAGATGGGTAATACTTCTACTGACAACACTACCAATTTCAATACTCTTAATAAAGATAGTAATAATAATCAAACATTACCATATTATCAAATAAGTAAATTATTTGTAATGTGTGGTATTGTTTGCTTAGAATTTTTTTTCATTCATCTTATTTTAGCGATAGTAATGAAAGGATTTGGTCTTCAAGTATATTTTTTCCAAACAATAATTTGTTCATTAGTTGTTATTAATTTCATGTATTACAGATATAGCATGAGTGGAAATGTTATTACTCTTAATACATTTATTCAAGAAATTTTTACATTCAAAGGAAAAGTAATTTCAACACTTATAAAAGCAGGAATAGGTTTTATAAGTATTTTCTGTCTTCGAGTTATTTTATATTATTGTCATATTGACACTTCTAATTTATTTAGTAATTTTTACACCGATGGAGAGTTAGATATTCCTGTTGTTATTGACAATCTTTTTTTCTCTGTTATAACAGAAGAAATTGGCTTAAGACGAAGTATGCTTAACACAATTAAAACTTATGCTTCAACATCTAAAAACTATCTCTTTATCATATCAGGAATTTGGTTTGGTCTAATTCATTTTGTTAATATCGGCACTTCTTCATTTACTGTTACTTATGTTTTATTCCAAATGTCTTATGGCATGATCATCGGTTATACTTTCGGTATCTTCACTGAATATCTTGGTATTTTCCCAACTATCATTCTTCATTCAATGAATAACGCTTGTGCCATTTTTATTCCTTTTGTTTTCTCACCTTTCCTTCTTCTATATTCAACTTTATCCGCTTTATTATTGATTTATTTATCACATAAATTACTAATATCTCATTCTCTTTAATTAATTTATTCTTCTTATTTTGGTGTTTAGTAA